TTTTGTTAAAACATCAAGGTCAAGGGGTAAAAAATCATAGCATGTTGGGAGCCTCTTGTTATGGGTAATGTTCACTTGAAATGTGAAAGTCAAATCTCTTCTCAATGAAAAGGAAATACAACATTAATGAAAACTAAGTTAAACTTCAAGGTCAAGGTCACAGAGTCAAAAAGTCATGATACATTTTGGAAGGTCTTATCAAAGGTAATATGAATGCCCTTTCATTTATCTTTCAAAATGATCAATTCAAAGCAATTAATTTTTTTAAGGAAATTAGGTCAAACTTCAAGATCATGGGTAATGAAAATCATATTGTATGTAGAATGGTATTGTCCCATTTAATACTAATACACATATTTAATATAAAAGTCCTATCTCTTCTCATTCAAAATATACGACCATGATGACCAAGGTTAAATTTATTGTGACAGATAGGCAGATTGACAAACAAATGAGATTTAATGTACCCTACCTTTAGCAAAAATGGGGACAATAAATGTCTTTGCTGTTCTTGAGAAGAAGATTTATGTTGGAACAAGATGTGTTTGTGAAACACTACGCGCCCGGCGGCAACAAAGTTAAAAAAATCTTCTTTTAGCATATTGATCACAGTCAAGGTCACAAGGTCATTGACCATGGTGTCATTCGAAAGAACTTAATCAGTGGAGTATGCGTACTAAATATGAAGTCCCTATCTCCCATGGTTCAAAAGTTGTGGCAAAAAGTGTAAAGAGCTATTTTTAGCATATCCGTCACAGTTAAGGTCACAAGATCATTGACCTTGCCGTCGTTTGAAAGGACTTTATCGGTGGAGTATGCATACCAAATATGAAGTCCCTATCTCCTATGGTTCAAAAGTTATGGAAAAGTGGAAAAAGCTATTTTTAGAATATAGGTCACAGTCAAGGTCACAAAGTCATTGACCATGGTGTCATTTGAAAGAACTTAATCGGTGGAGTATGCATACCAAATATGAAGTCCTTATCTCTGATGGTTCAAAAGTTATGGCAAAAAGTGTAAAAAGCTATTTTTAGCATATAGGTCACAGTCAAGGTCACAAGATTATTGACCTTGATGTCATTTGAAAGGACTCTATTAGTGGAGTATGCATACCAAATATGAAGTCCCTATCTCCTATGGTTCAAAAGTTATGACAAACAGTGGAAAAAGCTATTTTTAGCATATAAGTCTTAGTCAAGGTCACAAGGTCATTGACCTTGAAGTCATTTGAAAGGTTTTTATTAGTGGAGTAAGCTTACCAAATATGAAGTCTCTATCCCTTATTGTTCAAAAGTTATGGCCAAGGTTAAAGTTGACAAACAGACAAACAGATAAACAGACAAACAGACAAACAGACAGGACAAAAACAATATACGCCCGGGATCTATCGATCCGGGCGCTTAAAAAGTACCCTGCATATTTAAATGTAAATTGGTTGAAATTAGCCTAGTGGTTCTTAAGAAGTTAATGTGAAAAGTTTGCAGATAAACAGATGGACAACAGAAATCAGTACATTTCAGAAAACAGTATGCTTATAAATAGTTAATCAAGGTGCTTTGGGTAGCAAAATAAAGCTAAACTGGTATATCTAATTCATCCGCAGAGCTTAGTATATTTCAATATGCACAACCTTTTCAACTCTTATAATTATTTTTTAAAATTTATATCACCATGTCTCATTCAAGGGAGAACTAGAGATATGACCAGATGTATATCTGTTGAATATAAAATATGTACATGTATTCTGTGTTTTTTTTTAGTAATTTGTTTGTTTGTTGTGACAGCAACTGTTATGGCAACTTTTGGCAAAGGTTGAAGTTTCTCAAATGTAAGTCAAACTCCAAGGTCAAGGTCAAAGGGTCTAAATTGTTGGTATCAAAGGGAAAGTCTTGTCACAAGGAATACACATGTGAAAAAAGGGAGAAATCCCTAGAACTTCCTCACCTGTTCAAAAGTTATTGCCAAGGTTAAAGTTAAATTGGATTCAACTCTAAGGTCTAGGTCAAAAATAATTATACCTGTTGAAAGTTCACAATGATTACACATGTAAGAGCATGAAAGTCCTAGCACCACCTGTTCAAAACTTATGCCAAGTTCAAGGTATTTTTCTTGTAAAATTGGGTCAAAATCCAAGGTCAAGAGATCAAGAGGTCAAAATTGGTGGTATCCATTAAAAGGTTTTGCCAAAAGAAATTTACCTATGAAATATTCAAGCCATGTGTATAGCCCAATCCACTTAAAAAATATGGGCAAGGTTAAAGTTTCCGTGGACAGACAAAAATACATAAACATAGGAAACAAAATATGTATAAATAGTCAATTGAAAAAATTTTCTACTATTATGGAGTCATAAGATCAATTGTCATTTCAGGTACAGGGAGTCAGTGGCTAGGGAGATCAGAACCCCCCCCCCCTGGAATTAGCAGTTATTTAAATAAGACAGTGCTGTAGAGAATAAAAATGACTTTGGACATCCTCCCCCTTAGAAAACAGGGACTCCACCATCATTGTTTTTATTATTATTTTTTATTTCCATCTCAGGAAATCTTGGGCTGATTTTTTTGACTGAGGTGTGACACCCCCCCCCCCTTTCTGAAAAAAAAAAATTCTGGATCTGCGTCTGTTATATACTGAATGTCCGCAACGGGAGATAACTTGACAATGTGAAATTTGTCGACTGTGGCATGCGATGATCGTTGACCATGTTGACCCTTTTTGAACTTCAACCTAACCATTTGCATTTATTTATTTTTATGCAATCTATGCTAAATCTTGTACTTACCGAATGTCATAGGTCGTGACAACGAATTCATGAAATATAATCCATATAATCCAATTAAAACACAAATGATTTTAACTGACCACACTGCATCGTCAGCATACATGTGCTAAATAATCTCATTCGACAAACCTTTGCTGATTCCTTTGCCAGTATGAATTGGCCGAGGTGTGCCGAGAGGTGATATCTATAAATATGATAATGGGTGACGCAAACCCAATGTGAATGTAGAAAATAAAACTGTTTAGTACAAGAACAAATTTCAAACTATCATAATAAACTAAACTATGTTTTTTAAAAAATGTGAGAGTGAGAGAGAGAGAGAGTGTGTGTGTGTGGGGGGGGGGGGGGGGGGGATAGGCATTGACAAATTAATCGGGTTGTATTTTCAATGGGTTTTTTTCCCGACCAAATACTTAAATCAGTTTGCACATTTTGATAAATTCATCAAAAACGCTTTGTACTAAAATAATATTTTATGTCGTTGAGAAAGTAAATTTAAAAAGTTCCAAATTATGGGCAAAATGTTTATCTTAATCTAATTAAGTAATTTACTTCAATCATTAATTAAATTCTGTTATTTCAGACTGGTTATGAATTAAGTATTTTAAAATACATATGTGAGGCTCAGAGTTGATATGGTCATCTGAAAATTTTATGTTCAATTTGACGAATACATGTACGGTGATAATTATAGAATTATTTTGACTTCTTCCTTGGAAAGTCCAATATGAATGAGTGTATATTTAGAGGCAAACACCATAGTGCGGGTATTACTGTCTCATGACAGCATCTAGTATAAATATGTATTTGCATTTCTTTAATCGTACGGAAATCCATTTTTTTTCTCTCAAAGCATGGCTTAAAATTAAATTAAATAATATCACAGTATAATTTCACAATAAATTTTGCGCTATAACTTGAGTTGACGAAAATGTATTGCAAACAGTTCTAAGCACCTGTAAATTTCACTCAAAGTTGATCTATCTCATGTCTATTTATTTTTTTTTACATTTGCTTCCCTACGTACGGGAAAACTGTTACAAATTGATTTTTATGTTAAAATATAAACTGTCCGTAAATTCCTCATGTTAAAGTTTCTGTCTATACTGTATATTTATACTTTATAAGTTAAATTCTCCCCCTTTTAAAGAAAAGTTACAATTAAAACTCGAGAAAAATCTTGCAACTTAAAAAACATTCACATAAAAGAAATTTTATTAATTTTCTGTAAAAATTAACATTGAAATTGGTTATTTGATGTCTTTATTCACATTTGTCACATTTCATTTATGATTTGACGTTGATAAAAATTCAGTATCCCGTTTTAAATATGCCTACTCCTAAAATGAAGGGAAGGGGGTATACTTAAACTTTTATTTATCACGTGTCCAGAAAATGTGCAGCATAAATTATTTTCATATTTTTAGGAAGATAAGACATTTATCTACAACATATCACAATTTCATAACATTTCTCGAGGGGCTGCAAAACAGCCTTATCGAAACTCCCCCTTTTTTCTGCAATAGCTGCGACCGTTCATTCCAGTAATAACAAACAAAGAAAGACATTTTATTGTATATATATTTATATCTGTTTAAATTATCATTTTAAGTAGGATTAAAAATATTAATTATTGTGTTAATGATGCAAACGTCTTTGTACGTTTCATTGATGGAACGGCCACTGATCAAGAAATCTGTACAGGTTATATGCCTAATGTAGTTCATACAGTGATGAACGCAATGGGTTTTCTTAAGAAATAAAGAAGAAAATATTCAGTGGATGTAAATATATAGAGATAATTCTGTGAATGCCGTGACAGGTCTTATGAATGTCATTAATGTTTCATCTTAATATCTCAGAGCAGACCCTACGACAGTTCTGTGAAACACAGTCCAGGCTTATAATTATCATTTAAAAATAACATTACACCGTAAATAGATACTGCTTATTTGTATAACATTAACCAAAAAAAAATCAACATCGATATTGTAAACTTATTTACTTGGCATACATATGACAAGTTCATGTATATTTTCATCCAATGGAATTTTATGCTTTACTTATCCACTATAAAAATTATGTTTAAAGGTATTTTCCTATGCAAATAGGATGTGTAGCATTAATTTGCACACACTCTTTCTGCTTTGAGGTTTCTTTATTTCTTATAACTGTCTTCTTTATTATAAACAACATTTATGCTATCATATAAAGGAAGAAAACATGATTGTTAACAATCTAATTCAATGGTAGAAATATTGAAGAAGAAGGAACTTACTGTAATTGTCTAAAATATGTACTTCAATATGAAAACAAGAAGAAGTTTCTGTTTGTTTGACAAAAATAAAATATCAGATTTGTAATGATATATCAGATCTGATTATAAATTATCTCTAGTTCTTGTGTCTGATCATCATCACAGTCTGTTTTAATGCTTCCCATCCTTTCCAGTGATGCCATACCGGGTATCTAGGACCAGACACACCAGATTGTGCATACTGACCGTTAAGGTTTGATTGGTGACAGGTGCTGTACCACCAGGCTCCGTGAAAGTCTGTAGCACAGTTACTTCCATAATTGTCATTGTCCTGGTCTTTTGTTGTGAATTTCATACCATTGTGAAAACTAGTCAAACCGTCACCTACAACAGAGTTTGGATAATGTTATAATCTATTATTCATTGATAGAATAATCATAACATCGTAACCTTCACAATGATCACTGTTGTTCTAAACTTCAGAAAACTGTAGATTTTTAGTTAATTAATTACATTCAGATGTCAGTGTTATATTTTATTGCATATCATACATTCTAAGATGAACATCGTATCAAAGGCATTCTAAAATACTATTTATGTGTGTATGTACGTTAAATCATGTATTTCTAAGAATGTATTTTAATTGTTAATGATATCACAGATAGTTTTAAGTATATATAGTTTTTGTTTTGTCATTTTGCTTCAAGATTGTAAAATTAATGATTGAAGTGAATTGAACATATTTTACTGACAAAGTCAAAAGGATCGGACACAAGTTCAGTAACTTAGATAGTCCTCTCCTAATACAACATTTTGTAAAATTGCCAAAATAAAAATAAAACATATATACATATGGTCTACTACATACATTGTATACATCGTAGTAATAGAAAGGAAAAAAAATAAATTCTTTAAATGTACAAATATAATTCGAGATGGTAAGAGAGAGAGAGAGAGAGAGAGAGAGAGAGAGAGAGAGAGAGAGAGAGGTAAACTTACTTAAAAATCGACCATATTCATTTAAGAAAGTTTGAAAAGTTAATGATTTTAAAGATAATTATACCGAAATGAGTCCTCGTGCATATTTGGTTTATTAGCATTGCAATAATGAATATTCAAGGAATGACATAATATTTACTCACGCTATACTTTATGACCTAGGTTGGGAAGTCATTGGATATATTTTGTTGGAGATTAAATGTCCATTTTTTACAAGTATAACTTGTGTAGCTATTTAATTTATTTCTCATAATATAATTTTCTATCGTTTCAAGTGTAAACATTAAGATAATATCCATTCAAAAATGTCTTCACAATATGCAAAATACATGTGACGTCAATCAAACTCTCTTGATGTAAGTGTCAAATTGTGACGTAAGCAACAAATTACATTAATTTAACTAAATTTTCTTTCCAGTCAAAATAATCTTATTCAGTTTACAAACTGAAATCCCAATCCGTTGTGATGACTGAACATTATGCAACAGTGTTATGAGTAAACCTACCTGCGGTTCCTGAATACCCCGACACAGTGAGTTTGTATTTACTGTCTTCGTTCCCCACATAAAATGTGGAGTACAGAGCGTATGCTTTAACACCATTAAATCTTTGTTGCTCAACTCGGAGTTCCTGGTCCTTGTTCTTTGTCAACTCATAGATTGCATCATTTCCTTAAAAGGGGGGGGGGGCACAGGCACATTAATATATGGTACATAATTTTTGTGCTTTGTTGACATGTAGACAAATATTCTTTTACTAAACAAACTTATAATATATTGTTGATCAAACAGTAAGAAGAAACAGTGAAGCTGAAATCTTTCAATTTTTTTTTTATAATTATCTACCATATTGTTACACTTGCTGTAGATTAAATACCTATCACCTTTCCTAGGCAATGAAGTTTGAAGTGAAATAAACATTTCTGTTTTAGAATATATATGAAAGCTCACTACTTGTATCATCAAAACTTGCAAAATTATTATTTACTATCAATTCGTTCGATGAAATGTGTTGAAACTGGAATGTTTAACACAATACTGATTAACAGATTTAAATTTAAATTTTACAAATTAAAGTGTAAAATTTACAGATCAAAGTGAAATATTTCCAGATTAAAGTGTAGAAATTAAAAGAAAAAGTGTCCAAGTGGCACTAATACGCTTCCGTAATTAAAATAATTCAAGACAATAAAATTTTTAATTCCCGACGGATATTTTCTGTTATATCCCGATCATGACAAGGAGTACACGGCGGGTATGACCGGTCAGCAGGGGATGCTCACTCCTACATGGCACCTGACCCCACCTCGGATGTTTCGCAGGTTCGTGTTTGCTCTGCTCCTATTTGTATTGTTTTATGGACTTTCATATGGAATACTGTTCGTTATCTCCAAATCCTTCGATAACTTTCTATAGGACTCCGATGCTCTTATTTATCTTTTAAATGAATGGCATTTACCCAGTCAGGGCCTTTAAATATTTTTCGAAAAATATGCTACAATTATTAATATATTTGTTCTTTATAAGTACTCTTAAGTTGTCATCAAAAGATGCTTGAATTCCTGATTGACAATATCTATGTGGTGTTTGGAGATCAGGTCTTCCAACAATCTATTGGAATTCTTTTGGGTACCATTATTAGCAGACCTATTTTTATATTCATATGAAGCAGAATTTGTCCACAATCTTATGCATGAAAAGAAGAAAACACTGTGGCTGTGGCTTTCATCTCGGCATTAAGATATATAGACGACGTATTGGCAATTAACAATTGCAATTTCGATTCTTATGTCGATACCATATACCCTTGTGAGCTTGAGATACAAGATATCACAGAGTCTGAAACATCTGATTCATACTTGGATAATTCACTTGAAAAAGACGTTGGTAATCTAAAACCCAAGCTCTTTGACAAACGTGATGACATTAACTTTTCCATCATCAACTTCCCTTCCTTATGCAGCGATATACCTTCATCACCTGCATAAGGGGTGTGTATATCTCAGTTGATAAGATACGCAAGAGCATCCTCAACGCATATACAATTTCTAAAACGAGGTAAGTTATTGATAAAGAAGTTGATAAAACAAAAATTTACCAGTCTCGATATAAGTCACCAATTCGTAAGTTCCATGGTGGATACAATGGCCTTGTCAGCAAATACAATTTAACAATGAGTCAGTTTGTTTAAAGTTATGAACTGTGGACGATAATTATTACATTTTTTGTCACATAAAATGTATTTAGACTGCATTTACAGTGGATGTTGAGATGTTCTATACCTAGCCAGTAGTTCTTAGAGACATTCCCAAACCCCTCTTTGTACTCGTTCCATGTCCTGTAAAAATCCAAGTAGCCATCTTCTCTTTTCTGAATTGTCTGTAAACAGCATTCATATGTTTACTTAATCGGTACTTGTTTCAAAAAAGGAATAAATGGAGAATTATATTTTTCTTAATAATTTGTTGTGGAATGGAAGAATATTTGCTTTTCGCTACCTTTGGATTTTCTAAAGTCACTAGAGGATAAGAATAAGTGTTCTTGATTTCTTTGAAGACAGTGAATTAACAATTTTGTCACATTCTTGTTTTGTACATGTAACTTAAGAGTTCATTTTGTCAAAAATTGGAAACGCGCAGACGTTTATTTTATCAAGCTTTCGGATCGGGATCCATTTAATTTATTTGGGGTTTTTAAATTGATTATCGTATTCTTATCATTGCTACTAAAGAACATTTCATTCAAATATATGTTAATTATTTATAGATTAAATCACTACTCACCGTCCACCCTCCTCCATCTGTCGTCATGTCACAGAAAACCTCTCTCAGAGTGTCAACGAAAATAACATAAACTCCATCTTGTCCTTTTTTACTAGGGTTTCCTTTCAAAATTTCTGAACAATCCTTGTATTTTTCTTCTATGTAAAGTATGAAATATATGAAGATAACTAACTATATTCAAGTTCAAAAGTTAATTCAAACAAAACAAATGAGGTTCAGAGCAAACAAAAATTTCTAAAACATTAGACGTGGGATCAGTTCCTTCTTCAAAATTATTTGTGAGTTTGAATATTTTTATATTCACAACAACACACATGAATTTTAAAAACAATATCTATATTGGATTTCGAAACTTCAAAATAATCCTTACAAACAAAGATTAATAACAGTAGATGTTATAGCAAACATTTTTAATACTCCTCACTGAAATAATAACAGTAGTGAAAGAGAAACTTTAGTTTTTAAGGATAAATAACACAAACAAACTTTTTTCAGAAATCAGTATTATTTTTGATAGATTTACATTTAAATTGGTAACCTGAATAATGTTTACCAAGTAGAATGGGAGATTTATACAAGATTTTGTCATAAGGTAAAAAAAATTGTGCAAAATTTTGTATGGACTTATATAGAAGGCAAAACAAAATCTCATATCTAAGCACCAAGGAAAACCTACGATCTCCTTATATTTCAGGGATTTATTATTTATGTAATTTCAAATCAAAATCGGTCAAAAAATATATATCAAACCGTGCATCCATTTTTTGTTTGTGGTAAGTACCCTTAAATTGTGGACTTATCTTTCAGGTCAATTGAATAAAAAAGAATTTATTCTCGGGAAAGATTGTTTATACTGTTAAATCAATAAACAATAAAAACATTTATGTTTAAAGAAGTAATTTTGTGATTTTTTTCTTCTTTGCATGACAAGTACCCCTGAAAATGACTGAAATTGTGAAGTTGCAATTTGTAATTATTATTCCATGTTCAACTCGATGCACTACAGTGCAAGGATGTGTCAACCAAACCCGCCAAAAATTTGAAGTTTTAATAACTTTTAAATGAAATAAGTTTTTTAATTAATTTTTGTGTGAAATGCTATTAAAACATATCAGTCGTAATATTATAGAGAAAATATTGATTTCAAATATGTGTCCAAGTACCTTAAATATAATGTTCCATTTGTACGTATATGTTGAAAAAACTCATTATTGCATATCTTTCATGAATGTTTCCATTTTCTTTAAATGAATTTATTGAGTTTTTTCCAATGCATGAAATTGTGAATTCGTAAATATGATCACAGCAATTTTCACAAACTACAATAAGTATTGAAAATATTTATAAACTAAATTTATAATTTTAACTCGGTTATGTCCTTTTACTACTGAATTATATATAATTGACATCAATACATTCATTCCAGAATTAGTAAAGTGCTAAAAGAAATTGCAATCCTGATTAATATTGTAATTTTTATCACAAAAAGCGCCGATATTTTCATTTGGCGCCTGAATGTACTCGGTTGTCAACATTCTGTCTATCGCCTACGTGATGCAGTGGTTTTAGTGAATGTCTGCTCTAAGAGTCGCTGAGTAAGAACCTGATCCTTACGTCGCGTGTTCCAATCCGCTGTGGGACGTGAAAACTGATCCTTCTTATTAGACATATAAACCGAGGTCCCGTGTTGCAGTAGGTGATGGCACGAAAAAGATCCCTCACTGTTCCATGTCTTGAGTGCACAGTTTAGGTAAGTGGTGGCGTCTCCATATGAGTGAAGATAGAGACGTTGAACAACAAACATAAAATAATCTTTCTTTGTTTAGAATTTGAATGTACTCAAAATTTGCTTTCACGTACCGAATCATTTGGGATACATATGCATTGTTTATTTGTATATATGCAAGATTATTTGTGAAAATCTTGTGAGTTGATGATGGAACTTGTCCCGTTTGCTTGTTAAATAATTAAAGCAACATACCATTATCACTCGCGTATTTTGTATTCCATTTAAATTGAAAGAATTTCGATAAAAAGGCGTCAGAGTTAGTATTGGCACGATAAAAAAACCCCACTCTACAGTTACCATGAATAGCAAAAATAAGTCTAAATTGCAAGCCCTTCAGCGGCTGCATGAGTGCATACTTCTCGAATGGGATGTTTTCACTACATAAAATCAATCAATCCTTCTTACAAACAAACAAAAAGCAGATTTAGGAAGAAAACAACCTTCATTCAGCATTATATAATAGATATTGTTAAGATTTACAAATTTGATATGCATTCCTACAATTTAATAGAAGTAACATCTTACCTTTTAAAACCGGTACACATTTACCACCAATACAAATGTCATTATCAGTACAGACGTTGTTTAAGCAATTGCCCGCCAAGTGCTGAAGTTAAATTAACCCAGAGTTCTGATTCGATTTGATAAATATATGTAATTATATTCATTTTAATGAAAATGTTTGAAAAAAATTTTCTTACCACTGGAAAATGTTCCCGTTCGACATGAAAGTTTGTGCCGTTAGTCATTAGACTGCTGTCATTCTTGACGACATATCTTGTGTTTAGCCGGCATATCTTTTCTTCTTGTATCCAATCCACTGAACGACACAACTTAAACTTAAAACAAATCATCATGCACATTGCAACGTCAGCATTTGTCAAAAGGTTAAAACCTGGAAGTGAGGAATTTTTATAATTGCTAATGAGCAAAGTTTTTGGGTCGAATGGAGCGGAGCACTGAGAGTAGCATGTCTGTATCAGAGCAAGGAATTGTCCAAAACGGTAGAGACTGGTCATCATAAGACTTGTAAATTGTGTTTTTTAAACGATATCTTTGTCAAATTAAGCGATTGGTTCTACCAGGACAATTGACTATCTCAATTGTCCTTCTCTCTATAAAATATATAGCAGTGCTTAAGGATTGTTTATTTATAATTAATGAGGTGTCACGTGATCATTTTTGTTAATATTGTTCAATAGATAAAGTAAAGTCGATCTAATTTTTTTTTATCATTTGCATAAATAAAAAAAGGTAGTATTAAACAAAGGTAATAAATGTTCCTGTAAATATAAAGTATGAGTCTTTTCATCTTTTATTTTTGTTTCTTAAGGACAGATGATACAAACAAAAAATTGAGCCCGGATTGGTATATATTTTTGGACTAATTTTATTTAAAATGAGGCAAATAATAAATTTCTAGAATAATAAAAAAATGTAAACCTCCTGTGATTTTCAAATTTCTGCCTCTCTGAAACCATCCTTATTAGTCTATATAAATATTTTTCACTTCAGATCTCATTTTGTGAAAATTTGAATAAAAAATTAAAAACTTCGCAGTGTGAAAGTTATTTATTTTACTCATTAAAACATGACTCAGGTTGTTAATATCATATCTTTTGAGAAAAGTTTGTATAATCTGTCCTTAATGGTGTATTGGTCTCTGATATATTTTGTAAGTGTACTAGACCAATATTGATATAATGGGGAGATGTTTAAGTATTTCAAATCATGACTATCTGGTAGGCTCAATTTACAAGCAAGACAAAACATGAAAACTAGCTGTTACAGAAAAGCAACCAAACAATTGTTGTATTCATATGTCGTTCATATACACTTTATCTTGTCATAGCGGTCACCTTGATCCTGCAGTTACCTGTCGTACGTGGGCATTTTATTTTCTTCAAATGAATTTCTCTAGATAATGTAAAACTATCAAGCGTTAATCTGCGTAACGCGCTCAGCAGACATCATATTTAATGTAAAATCACCGCTTGATATCCATCTAGCGGCCTTGATGTCCATTCATGTGACCAGAATCAGGTGACTCTCAACTTTTGTCACCAATGTAAATGATTGGTCTAGTGTGGAGAGATCATGGAAAAGATATTTGGGTTATTTGAAATATGGGATAATTTTCTTATTTTTATTTTTTCAATTTTTACTTTTTTTGTCGCCCGCGTGGCACAGTTGTTAAAGCGTCTGCTCTGGAGTCGCAAAGTAAGGAGATTGATTCTTACTTTGCGGGTTTCAATCCCACTGTGGGATGTGGACACTGGTTCTTCGAATAAGACCATATAAAGGACGCTCCAATGTCGCAGTAGGTGCTTGCATGATTAGGATCCCTCGTTACTTAATAGCCGTAAGTGCCTAAAATAGGACAAAATTTGCAGCTCTCCGCCAGCAAGTAATGGCGTCTCCATATGAGTACAAATTGTCGAGAGGGATGTTAAACAACATACAAACAAACATTCACACTTACTTTTTCAAACAAAACTCAAACAACGGAGCTAATGACCGAAATGGTTGTCTTAAAAACCAACTTATGAGAATCTTAATCTTATGCAATTGGAATCTGCTTTAAAAACGCTTTGGAATTCTCTGTTCCTCGATTTTTATAAACAAATGTAGTGCATAACTAACATGCTATGGATATCCTTCCAGAATTTCATTGCCTCTGTGCCAGGGGTTCTACTTGTACATGTACTGTAGGGCGGGACTCAATTGTATAGTGAAAATGCAAAACTTGTTTTAAAAGCCCCCTTCCCCAGTTTATTACAGATAATCTACACAGATAACTATGATGAACAAGGGTTCTTTCTTCACAAATTCTAAATAAATTAGTGGTCTCAAGGTCAAGGGTTTTGATGGAAGGAAAGAGGCTGTAATTCATTATATCTTTATGTTGTGATAGAGCAATATTTTTTGTATTTTGAAAATCTTCTACGACCCACCTAGGCACATAAAAGATCGTTTCTCTGGATTTCTATAATGAGAAAGCGCACTGGGGATCGCTGGAGAAACTTAAAAATCTGTCAAAAACCGGTCAAATTAGCTTAAAAATCTGTCAAAACTGGTCACATAAACTTACAAATCTATCAAAACCGATCAAATAAACATAAAAATATGTCAAAAACCGTTCAATTAAACATAATTTTTTTTCGCCGGTATCTGGTTGAAATATTGGCTACTCGGCATTAAACAATAAATCATTTCTCCTTGGAAAATAAAAAAAAATTAAAAATGTTACAAA